TTTTTTGTTGTTTGAATATAAACAAATTAATAAAAGTCAGTAATGTAAAAAGAAGTAATATAAGTAAAGTTTAATAAAATAAAATAATAAAATCTTAATATTATAAAACAAAAATTTACTTATTTCAATTGGTTGTTATGTATAAATTAACAAACTCTATTCTTCTTTATTATCTCTTTTTTTTAAGAAAAAAACTACCAAATATTTTACTCAGATAAGCTTTTATCTATCGTTCAATTTGCTTTTCTTATTTTTGAATTAATTTTGGTTGGTTTTAGTGTTAAATAAACTTTCTAATAATTTATTTAATATGCCTAAAGGTTATAACTATCCAACTTACAACACATCCATTTGTATTAAAATAATTAAAATATATATAACTTGTTATTTTGGAAAAAAGATAAGTATTTATGAATGAGAAACACCTTATATTCTATCAAGAAAGAATAAAGTTTTATAAATATTTTGTTTAAAGACAATTTAGAATATTGGTTTGGTAAACTAAAAAAGAATGATAAAAAGATAATTACCTAATCATTAAAAGAATTTAATAATAATTTTTTTTAGTCATATTGGTTGTATTAATATATAACCTAAATAGAATAATTACCAATGAATAAAAAAAGCTGTTATTGATGTTGTTAATGTAATAGTTAAGTTATCAAATAATGATGGAGAAATAAATTCAGTAAAACAACCAAGACTAACGATAGCTAGGGTATTGAGTATCCAGATTTGCCTAAATATTATATATTCAAAGACTAAACAACCAATAAAACTAAAGAAGATAAAAGAGCAACACCCATCAAATGTTTTTCTACCGAATGGAGCTGGAATTACCCTTGTACTTAGAGAACCAATTATATCAGCCATTCCATCTCCTAAACATAAAATGATAATAGAAATAATACCAACAGGTGTGTCGTACCAAAAAAGCATAGTAATAAGAGAAATAACAACACCATAAATAAAAGGTCCTTCAAGTAATTCATGAGGTTCTTTATTTCTTGATATAATTTGAATGATAAATTGAGATAAAGATAATTTCTGGAAAAGATAACAAAATAATAATAAGAGAGAAATTGATAATGGAAGAGTTGCAGCAATATAACAAGAAAGAGAGGTATTTGGATAAAATTTCCAAGTTAAAATAAAAAAAGGACCAGTTAAAAGATGAGTTAATTTTCTTGATATACAAGACTGTAATGAGAAACATCTTTTAAGAATAACAATAAGAAGAAGAGTAATAACAAGAACACAAAAAGATAAAAGGTATGCAAACAAGTAATTCATTTTAACTCTTTTAGTTCTTTTATTGGAATAAATAATAATGTTAAATTTTAGATAACAAAAAATAACTAAAATATTAAAAACCATTTTGATAAGATTGAAAATAAAAATTGTTAGCCTTTTTGTGGTATTGTTTTTCTTTTTTTTTTGAAAACCATTTAGTGTCAAAAATAAAATTAATTCTAAATACTTTAACTACAAAATAAGTATTTTAAAAATACTTTAATATCCATAATTTTAGCAACAAAATTAAGATAATTATTTATTTTTTAATAATCAACAATTAATTATGTATTTATAGAACTAGCTTCTATAATTCCTGGCTCAGGTGAGAGTAATCTCATCCTCAAATCTTCTTATAGCATTTCTATGGAGTATGTTTGGTTGTAGTCTGGCAATTAATTATTTTTCAAAATGAAAATAATTTACCTTAATTGGTTTTTTTTTGTTAGTTTCAGTTTTTTATTTAATTAAAGCATAGACTGAATGTGGCACATATGAAACACCACACAAACACTAATACAATTCAATCATTGAATCTTTCAGTTATTATCTGATTATGGATTTGTACTTGAATATGAAATGTATTAGTTAATGCTGTAAATAGCAGCAATTTATTATGGTGGAATATTATTTATTGTATTATAAGAATTGGTATTTATGAATAAAGAAAGTTAGAAATGTATATATTAGCTAAGGAAAAAGATCTACTAAAGTGTGGTTACGAATAAAAGGAATTAATCAAAGTAATATAGTAGTACTGAAATGTTTTCTTCTCTCATTCATAAAAAAAAAAGAAATCAATTATGATTAACCTTATTTTTTAGGTTTTCCATCATGTTGAGAAGTGAGCGAATCAGTTTCTTCAACACGCTTTATTTCTATTGAAATAAAGTTTTTGCAAGCATGCTCGACTTAAATGGTTCCTCAATTAAGTTGCTGCCTGACTTTTATTTTGATTTTAATGAGTAATATAATATTTCTCATTCTTTATATTGTTGTTTTAAGGAGAGTATATCCATAACATACTGTTATAGCTCATCTCCTTTTACCTTCGACACCCCTTAAAGAAACCCTATTCCTTGATAATATCATTATGTTTAATTTTTGTGCAACAATATCAATTATATATGCGTCTTCTTTAATAAATGATAATTCTTAATACGTAACACACCCTTAGTAAATAATAATCCTTATAATTAATAATGAATAACAATACACGTTAATGAATAACAATACACGTTAATGAATAATAATCTTTTATAATAATCACTTCTAATAAATATTAATAATAATAAACAGTTAGTGTTGAATAGATATTATCTCACCAAAGGCACGTCATGACCAGACGATAACTGGGAGATTCGAAGCATGGGATTATTTTAGGGTTTCATGTGGTGTCTCTGACGTGCCATCTTCGAATCTCTTCTTCTCTCATTCATAAAATAAAAAAAGAGAAAAAGAAATTATTTAAAATTAAGGCAGAAAATAAACAAAAGAATAAAAAAAGAAGGAATAAAAGAAGAAGTTTGAGAAGAAGCTAATAGGAAGAAATAAAGCAAAAAACGGTTTTTCTCATACTCTTAGACAAACTTAAATGAGAAGTTAAACAAAAGATTGCTCTTTTAAAAAAAACAAACTCATGGATGGGATTAGTCTCCCTTAAGCAAGGAAGAATAGAAACCAATTCTATTAATACTAAATTAACTAATTTTTATTTAATTAAAAACATTAACTAAGACAATTAATAAAAAAATATTTAACCTTCATCTTCTTTTATTAGACAACTCTTTCAATTAAGTTACTAAAATGACTGAATTTTTTCTAACTAACTTATACAGACACATAAGTATTAGAAATAAAAAATCATAAACAACTAAGGTTTAAAGCCAATAAAGATTTATTAAAATGAGGAATTCTTTCAATAAAATAGTTCTTATTATAAACAAATCATTCAGATAAAAGAAGAATAAAAAAGAAAAATAGAAATTGAATGAATAAAAGAAAGAAACAATCAGATGAAAAAAGAATATTCAATAAATTAAGAAGAAGAAAGAAAAAAAGTCAAAAAAGAAGAAAGAATCACTAAATAAATAAATTTAATTAAACATGATTGAGTTCTATGAACAATTTGGGACATTAGTATTTATTATGACAGCATCATTTATTATTAAAATTATTTGGTTTAGAGGGATTGTAAGAGAAAGTAGTGGATTATTAATGAAAATAATGTTTAATTTAACATTTCCATTTGTTATATTAAAGGCATTAATTAATACTCACAGTCTAGATATTGAGTCATTATCAATGTTTATATCAGGATTTATATTTCAAGTAAGTATAGGATTAATTTCTTTTATTATATTTAAGTTTATAATAAAAAATGATATTGCATGGCAAGTTGAATTCGGTGGATGTATTGGACTAAATATTGGACTTTTCTTATTTCCAATATTAGAAACGTTAGACCCTGTTAATGGAATTACACACGCTATTTTATTTAATATTAGTAATGATGTTGCTTGCTATTTAGTTCTTAGACCTTTATTTGCTTTAATTGAAAATAGTAAAGAGGATGATGAAAAACAAAATGAAATAACTGATATTCAAGTTGAATTAAAAGAGTCTCAAATAATAGAAAATGAATTAAAAAATGATGAACGTAAATCATTGGATAATGATTCTTTTGATATGAAAGGAACTCCAACTTTAGAAAGTTCAATTATTGCTTCTCCAAGTGAAGAATCAATAATGAGAACATCATTGGATTTATATCCAAATAAACCAACTGATTTTATTAAATATGGACAAAAGAAAACTTTAAGAAATGAAAAACAAAAGTGGCATGAAATTATTAAAAAAATTATTATCTCTTTGATTACTTGTATACCTTTATATGTTATGCCAATTGGCTATTATATTGGTTTAAATAATATTAAATTACCTCGTTTTATTAATAATATTATTATTACAATATCATCAGGAAATACATTAATGGCTTATAACTTATTAGGACTCTTTTTTGAATGGAAAAATTCTTGGCAAACTACTAAACTTGCTTTACAAGCTCTTATTGTTCGTTTAATTGTTGGAATATCTATTGGTGTTGGTTTATATTTTGCATTGTCTTCATACGTCACTCAATTAACTAGATTAACAATTACATTATGTTGTGTTTGTCCAGCACCATTACTAAGTATTATTTATAGTGTAGAATATAATGTTACTCGATTAGATGTAAGTGCTGCAATTGTTAGTTTTTCTGTAGTAACGAGTTTCATTACAGTGTTTATTCTTACTACTTTATTATCTTCTTATTAGTCATAATTTATTATTAAACAAATTTTGAAGATTTTGATAAGAGAAGGAATTAACCAAAACGAAGAATTAGTGACATATAAAACATCACACCTTCATTCTTTTTTTCTTCCTTTAAACAATCCTCAATATAATTAAAAAATAGTATTTTATAATAAAAATTTACTTCTTCATGAAGTAGAATATTCTGTGTTGAATCAACAAATGATTCTTAACTCTATCAATGATAAACAATCTCATTCCATTATTATTGATAATGAAAAGAAAAAAACAGAAAGAAAAGGAAGAAAGTTATACCGAAAGAAGTTGTCATAAAAATATAAATGAACTTATCATAATACTTGTTTAAATAAAAAGGGTAAAAAAAAAATAATCTAGAAGAAAAAGTCACAATGAGTGAACAACGTGAAAGGGTTATCAATGAAATTATAGACACAGAAATAAGTTATTTAAATTCATTAAGTGAATGTCGTGCTTTTTATTGGGATGATATGCGTCTCAGAAAACCTAATACAATGGTTGTTCCAATGGAAAAAGTTGATGAAATATTTATTGGGCTTGAAGATACCATTGTTGTTTCTCAATATTTTTGTACATTACTTAAAGACTTAAAGAAAGAAAATAAACTTTATACGAATATTCAAGATGCATTTATTAAAGCTGCTCCTTTCTTTCTTTATATGAGAGAATTTATTGGTAATAATTCTAATGCATTAAAAATTGTAAATGGTTATAAAGATAATAAAAAAGTTGACTGTTATTTTGAACAAATACGACAATGTTTACCTACAAAACCACAATTAGATTTAGGTTCATTATTAATTATGCCAGTACAACGAACACCACGATATGTATTATTATTAAACGAAGTTTTAAAACATACTGATAAAGAAAAGTCTCCTGAAATTTATCAAAGTGTAGAAAAAGCTTATAATATAATGAAAGATGTTGCATCACAAGTAAATGGATATATTCCAGAATTTGATAGAATACAAAAATTACGTATTATAACTGAATATTTAGAACCTTCTTTACGAGAGAATTGGTATTGTAAAGGAAGAAGTGTTATTGAAATGAATAAAGATGCATTATGTGGATTGGTTTATTCAATAACAACAGATTATATTGTTATTGGAGAAAGAAAAGCAAAAAATATAATTGCACCTGTAAAAACTATCTCATTGTACAAACCTCAAGTCCAAAGTACATTAAATTTTGGCATTACTATTACTTCATATGATAATAAAAAAACCATTACATTATCCTTTGCTTCACAAGAAGAAGTTAATCAATTTATTAATAAATTGTCTACTGTTATTATGAGTTGTACAGAAGAAATTTACCAAACATTGGGAAAAAAGTGTTGTATATTTTGTCATAAAGCAAATATTTCAACTAAATGTCCTGTTTGTAATAAAACTGTTTGTGATGAATGTAAAAACGATAAATCATGTTATTCATGTCAATTTGAAAATATAAGAATTGAAATGAATAAAAAATACTTATATGTACCAAAAAACCCAATCGTTATAAAGTCATTTAATCAATTATCTCAGAGTATGAAAGAAAAGGAGATGATTCAAGACATGTATGCTGAGTTAGGTGTTGATCAACCTAAGCCTATATCAACTGAAAAAAGAGTCGATCCATTTACTGCATTTTTACAAGGAGATCAAAAAATAGATACAGAGTTCTTTTTAAATTTTACTAAACAGGCTGAAGAAAAAAGAAAGAAAGAAGAACAACAGAAAACACTTGAAACAATAAAAGGGAATACTTCAACTGGAAGTTATACTGCTGCTTCTGATAATATCCCTCCTAACACACAAGAAACTACATCAAATCAACAGTATACTAGTCAAAATATTATTAGTTTAAATCAATTACCACATCAACAAATCACTGGACAACCACTCCAACAATCTCAACAACAATACCAAGTAAATTATCCTCCTAATACTCAAACTTACCAACAACAAGTTCAACAACAATATTTCCAACAAGTACCCCAACAGCCATATTACCAACAACAATACCAACAACAGCAATATCAACAACCGATCCAACAACAACAATATTATCAACAACAACCTCAACAACAATATCAAATGGGATATGATTCTACTACTCAAACATATCAACCACCACCTCAACAACAATATTACCAACAATATCAAGGATATGACACAAATTCTCAGATGTACCAACAAATGGGATACCCAAATTATCCACAACCAAATTATGGTTATTCACCTTATGGATATTAATTTATTGATAAAACTTTTAACATTTTATTATTTAGTCTTTAGACTTCCTAACTCACAGTTGTTTCAGATAAAGAAAACTTGGAGGCACAATCACTGACTCTCTAAAACGTCCTTTCTCATTTTCGTTTTTCTTCTACTAACTATCTTTTCATTTTGATTGGTGAATATCGATAGGGGTATTAAGTCGTATTGTTTGTGAAACAATTACTTGTATTTATAGAACTTTTTGAAGGGAATATCTAATTTTTGAAAGGGAAGAACTCAAAAAAGGCGGTACAGCTTCAAATCTTAGAAAAAATGGTTAAAAAAAGATTATCAGTTGTTTGGATATCAAAGAGAGATCTTTCTACTTTCCTAAAATTCTCAAACCCCCCGAAAAAAAATCTAATAGTTCCGAAGAATAACGAAGGAAAGAGTTGTTTGATGAATAGGAAAAATGAAAAAGAAAAAAATAAAAAAAGAGGATTTTGAATTCGTTAAAAAAAGATATAAGATATAAATAGAACATAGAAATATAAAAAGAACATAAAAAGTCATCTACAAATGAAAATACCAAAACAAGAAGAAGACATGAAAACATATGAAGGTAGTTTAATTAAAGAAAGTAGAAGTGAAAGTCCATTATTCTTTAGAACAAAAAATGAGTATAAAGATTTTTATGTTATTCAACAAGGAATTTTACTTTCATTTTTAAATAGTTATTGTTTAATTAAAATTAAAAAACAAAAGAAACAAGCACTTGTTACTTCAGCTTATCCTATTGTTACTCAATTAGATTTTGGTAATGAAGAAATTGATGTTCAAGAATTAGCTGATTCTATTTGTAGACCAATTTATGAAGATGAATGTAAATTAGTTAATAAGAAACAAACTGCAATGAGAAGATTTGAAAAGAATAAAAAAGTATTTGTTCAACATCTTCTTATTGATATGTTAACTGAAAAAGGTTTTTATTTTGAATCAAAATTAGCTAGAAAAACTAATAAAACATTCAGACTTGAACGAATTGAAAAAATTTATTATGGAGGTCGTTTAATTATGAATTTTAATGATTTCTTAGAAAGAGGATATGCTGTTAACTCATATCTTAATTCCCAATTTAAAGATAGTTCTTCTGCTATCATTCCAAAACAATCAAAAGGTCTTAGTGATCTTATTTTAAAAGAAAATCTTTATAGCCAACCAATTTTTAATTAGAATGTTTTTATTTTCTTCTTGTTTTTATTTATGTAGTATTAACTGAGTGATTGACAAAATTTTTGAACGTATTGTTTTTGTTTCTTATCATTTCTTTTTATTTATTTTCATCCTTTTGAAAAAAATCCTTTTCTTTTTTCTTTTATTATTTCTTATTCTAATTATTTCTATTATTTTTTTTTATTATCATTCAAAATAGTCACTATAAATAGTTCTTGTTATTATTTTCTTTTCTTTAATAGCCATTTTCTTTTTTTTTCTTGTAAATAACTATTATTATTGTTAAAAAGGAGTATTAAAAGATATACCTACAATTGGATTTTCTTTATATTAAGAAGTACTTCATTCAATAACTCTACTTCTATCATAGAGTTTATTTCCAATACATTCAAACAAAATAATACTATTGTTAATTAAGATTCAAAAAATTAGTGATTATCTTACTCTCCTTACATTTTTCATGGTTTACATTCTTTTTTGGTGTTTTAGTCTCAGTGTCAATATTCTATTATACTTTAATTGTTTATATGATGATAATCATATTACTATTGATGGAAATACTAATCTTGCATTTACAGAAGATGTTGGAAAAAGATTTGAAGCATATAATTGGAATGTATTGAAATGTAATGGAGATAATGTAAATGAAATTGATGCAGCACTTGTTTTAGCAAAAGCATCAGATAAACCAACTCTTATTTGTTGTAAAACTACTATTGGACTTGGTATGCCAAATAAACAAGGCACTTCTAAAGCACATGGAGAACCACCAGGACCAGAATTAGAATTAATGAAGAAAGCATATGGAGTTACAGAAGAGTTTCATGTTGATGAAGATGTTTATGCAGTTTATCATGCAGCATCAGAAAGAGGAAGTTTAAAACATACAGAATGGAAAAAGATGTATGAAGAATATAAGAAAGAAGAAGTAGAACTTGCAAAAGAATTTGAACGTAGACTTAAGAGAGATATTTCAAGTATTTCAGAATTATTTAAAGAAGAAATTAAAGCAGATGAAAAAGGTGAAGCTACAAGAATTAGTTCAGGAAAAGCATTTAATGAAATTGCACAAAAATTACCAGAAATAATTGGAGGAACTGCTGATGTTGGAGGAAGTGTTAAAGTCGTACTTCCAGGAGTATCATTCCATGAAGATCCTAAAGGAAGAAATATTCATTATGGAATTAGAGAACATGCTATGGGAAATATGGTTAATGGAATGAGTATTTATGGAGGATTAATTGCATATGGATCTACATTCTTTGTATTTAGTGATTATTGTAGACCAACTATTAGATTGGCAGCACTTTCACATTATCCATCAATATTTGTTTTTACTCATGATTCTATTGGAGTAGGAGAAGATGGACCAACACATCAACCAATTGAACATCTTATTTCATATCGATCAATGCCTAATTGTGTTGTTATTCGACCATCAGATGCAAATGAAACACGTGTAGCATGGAAGATAGCTATTGAAAGAACTAATGGACCAACTCTTTTGATTATGGCAAGACAAAATAGTAAGATTATTGATAGAACTGTTTTTGCATCATCAGAAAATGTAAGAAAAGGAGGATATGTTTTAAGAGATTATGGAACACCAGAAGTCATTCTTATGGCTACAGGAACAGAAGTAGATATTGCTATTAATGCAGCAGAGAAACTTCATAAGGAAGGACTTGGAGTTAGAGTTGTTTCACTTCCATCATGGGAATTATTCAGTCAACAAAGTGATGAATATAGAGAGTCAGTTCTTCCAAGAAAGATTCATGCTAGAGTATCAGTCGAAGCATCATCAACTATGGGATGGGAGAAGTTTATTGGAGATTGTGGTGTTGCTGTTGGAATGCATTCATTTGGAGCATCAGCACCAATCAATAAGTTGTATGAGAAGTTTGGTATTACCTCAGACAAAGTTGTTGAAGCTGCACACAAATCAATCGAAAATGTTAAGAATTGGTAATTTGACTATTCTTTATTTTTCTATTTTATTGTTTATTGTTTTTTTTTATTTCAGACGGAGCAGCAAAAATACTACAAAATGATGATTTAAAATACTGTAAACATTGTCATAACACAATAGCATCTATTAATTATATATTGTTAGGATGTCCTGTAATGAAAAAGAATCAAATATCAAAACATGATTATGTATGTAAACAAATATTTAAACATTTATTAATTACCCATTTTAATGAATTTGATTCAATTGATTTTAATAATCCTCCTAAATGTATTAATAATGATGAAATGGTTATAACTTACAATAAAGATTTATTTGTTAGTGACCATTCTTTCAATGATAGAAGACAAGATATATATTAACAAAATATGAAAGAAAAGAAAGGATATATTATAGATGTTGCTATATGTCAAGATATTAATAGAATTTAGTTCTATTCACAAAATGAATACAAACAAAGAATTACAAGAGAAATTAAGAATTAATATAGAATTAATATATGTAGAAATAATATCTTTTATATTATTAATAAATGGATTAATACATAAAGAGTCAGTAAGAAGATTAAAAGCACTGAAATTACAATTAAAATTCCCCTAAAATCCTACGAACAATAATAATAAAAAATATGAAAGACTTAATGTTTTACACATTCAATTCTGGCAGCACATTAGAAGAAGAACAATCTAATGCGAGCGTGTTAGAAATGAACTCTATTACACCAATAGAGCATATTGAAAAAACTGAAATAATCACTTCTCAATACTCATAAAATCCAATAATGGATATATCTAATAATTGACATTTTTTTGTTTTTTTATTTCTCTTTGAGAAATACCCAAAATATGTGGAGTCATATTATGACATTAAGAAATTATATGACACTGTCAACCACGAATGGGTTATTGAATCATTAAATTATTTTAATTATGAATGTGTCATCATTGACATTATTGAAAGTATGATGACTAGATTGAAGATATTCATATACTATAAATTTAATGAATATCTATGATGTATTAAATTAAATAGAGGAATTTTACAAAGTGATTCATTATCAAATCTACTCTTCATCATTAATATGAATGTAATTTCTCAATTCATCGAAGAGAAATTCCCAAAATCAAATCACACATTATATATGGATGATTTGAGAATAATGACGGGAAGTAGTGAAGAAATGGGAATAATCCACAATGAAATTAAAGAAATAATAAGTGGAATAGGGATGGAAATGAATGAGAAAAAGTCAGGATTGGTATTAAAAAACATTAAAGAAATACCAAATGGAATGCAAAACATCCCCGTAGTTGAAGGTGAGGACTTGTATAAATACTTAGGAATATGGCAGTCTAACGAAATTGATGACACCTTCAATTGTAAATCCATCAAAGAAAAAATGATGAAAAAGATGGAAGAAATAAACACTGATGATAGCAGTAATAGAATATATATTACTAGAATAAACACTGAAGTAATCCCTATCTTCAGATATTCAGCATCAGTTGTAAATTGGAAAATTACAGACCTAGACAAAATTGATTTGGAGATAAGAAAATATTTAAGAAAGGCAAAATACATTGGTGCCGGAAACTCCAAAGATAGGTTGTATGTCATTATAGAAGAAATGGGTGAAGGATTAATAAATATAAGGGACGAATATGTTATTGAATTAGTAAGAACAGTGATGTACTACTGTACCAGAGAAAGTGAAATTGGAGATAACATATTAGAGAGATGGTACAACAAGAAATGAATATGGAATAGAATTAAAAAAGCCCTAGGTCATAAAATCCCAGAAACAAAAATAGAAGAAATAATAAATGAAGGGATAGAAAAGAAAAAAGAAAAAGAAGTAGTAGTAGAAATAAAGAAATTATTGACAAATACATCAAAAATTGAAGTGTCATCAAATAAGTAGATATTTTAGAAGATGGTTCGAGTCAAAAGGAGTAGATAAAACTACTACAGTGAAAGCATGGAAATCCATCAATATTAAGAAAAATGCATTCCTTCAATTAACTAAAATGCAAGATGGAGCAATATTTTGTGGGTATAGAAAATCAAAAATAATGAAAAATGAAAGATTAAAATACAAAACACTTTGTAAAGACAAGATAGCAACAGTAAAACACATTCTACTATCTTGTATTTATCATAATAAATCACAAATGGAAAAACATGACAATATTGGCATAATAATATTGATTAATAAGAAAATATACATTCAATAAACAATATAAAAACCCCCATATGAAACAATGTTCAAATATAAAGACATCACAATGATATGGAACAAACAAATAATGCCTAAAAGTGAATGACAATACCACAAAATAATAGACATGTATGTAATAGATAAAAAGAACAAAACTAGTTTATTATTTGATATGACTAATGTTGAATATCACAATATTAATTTAGTGTAAATGAAGAAAAGAAATAAGTATAAGGAAATAAAGAATATTCTAAAGAAAATAGAAAAATTAAAAGATGTCAGAATAATTCCAGTAGTAATCTCAATCAATGGATTAATAAATAAAGAAAGTAATAAATTAATTAAAGAATTAAAAATTGAGATTAACATTGTGAAAGAAATTAAAAACCTTGTAATTAAAAAACATGATTGATGTCATGGAATATTGCTTCAATCACAACCAAACATACTCAGTAGAGCTGATTGAAGAAGATGAAGACGAAGGGATGGGATTAGTCTCCCCTGAGCTATTAACAATAGAAGATACTTCTATTAATACTTAATTAATTGCATATTATTCTTATTCTTTTTGTAAAAATTAGTTTAATTGAATTAATGTTGATAAAACATGAAAATTCAAATCACAAAAGATGAAATAAAAATAAAACAAAATTGAATCTTCTTCTCTTCAATTTTTTTTGTTATTTAAAAAAAAATACTAAAAATAAAATAAGCTAATTATAGAAAATAACAATATTATAATTATATTATTATTATATTATTAATATTATTATATAATTATTGTTATTGTAAAAATGATAAAAATGAATGATGTTTATTATAATAGAATGATGTTAAAATAATAATTGACTTGATGTGTTAATAAATTATATTAAACTATTTAATTATTCATATTTTGAACTTATAAACATCAAATTAAATTAAAATGGAAGAGTTAATTAAAAAGAATAACCAATTAATTAAAGAAGTGGTAAAACCACTTCCAAATATTCAACAATCAATTGATGATACTACTAAGAATTATCAATATTATATAGGAAGTATTCAAAATGAAGTATTTAAAATAAAACCAGATGAAACATATGAACAAGCGATTAAAAGAGGAGAAGGAATAATTGATAAGATGCATGAAACAGAAAGAAGAAGAAAAATAGTGACAGAGAAAGGAGAAGAAACAATCAACCAAATAGAAATAATGAAGAATAAAATGTCAAGAATCATAGAAGAATGTAATAGTGATAAAGAAACACTAGATAAGACACGGAATGAACTAATTGATAAAATCATTTCAATTGAAGAAATGATTATGAAAAACAAAATATTCAGAAAACCAAAAGAAAGAGATACAATCGCCGAAGAATTTAATAAGAAGAAAGAAGAATGGGAAAAGCATTACAGTGATTATTTAGAAAGGAAGAAGAGAAAAGAAGAAGAAAGATTGAGAATAATGAAAGGAATGAACACAATGGAAGAAATGTTACAACTAGAAGAATGGACAAATAGAAAAGTAGGAAATATACTATTCGATTCAGATAAAGATGATTGGAATGTTAATAAATCAGTATTTGATGAAAGAATAATGAATAAAGAACATATAATAATTATTATTGAAGATGAAGACAGAAATAAATTTGGAGGATATGTTAATTCTAAAGTTGATAAAATTCATAGTTATATCAAAGATTCAAAATCATTTGTATTTTCATTAGAATCAAAAGGAAGAATAGAAGGAATGAAGAAATTTGATATTAAACACACAGAAAATACATTTTATTTACATAGTCAATCAAGCGATGGATTGTTTGGATTTGGAAAATATGGAAGTGATATTTTTATGTGTAAAGAAAATAATAAAACAAAATCATGGTGTTATCAATATTCATATTCATATGAAGGAATATCGAATACACTTTGCGGAAAAGAATATCCAGATCGTTTCACGACAAAACGAATCATGGTAATTGAAATGAAATGATTCAATCTTGAATCATTTTAAATGAACTAAAAAAGAATAAAAACAAATCAATGAAGAATATGAACAGCCATTTCATTTATCTGCCAATGAATGAAATTGTAAATTAAAATTGACATAATTTATTGTTGATTTATTTTATTTCATTTGAAATTTTCACACACCAATGAGGGTGTTGTTTTTAATAAATAAGAAAAGAAATAATAATGAAAGAGAAATAATATAAAATGAAATAAATAAACAATTTATTTGTATCATTTCATTGAATTAATTCATTATGAATCAAATGAATAAAATAATAGAAATAATAATAATAAACAAATAAAGAAATGATAAAATACATCAACATATTTATGTTATTATTTCTTATTCTTTATTCATTCTTATTTTATATTTAAACAATAATAAACAAAACATAATAAGAAATATAAATAAGAATAACACAACAAAGAATAATAATAATACAAATAAAAGGGTACGAAAATTAGCAAAGAAAAAATGCATCTAAATAATTTACAAAAAAGAAAAAAGATGCAAAATAATTTGCATCCATAGAATTTTCCATTTATTATATTTTGCTCCTAAAGAAAAATAAAAAGTATGATAAATATACAATATGTAAATATTTATGTTTATATTTTATGATCATTTATAGTCATTTTGTATGAAATATTAATGAAATAGATTATTTGATGAATCATATTTATTTTTATTATTCATATTCTTTTATTTATATGTTATTTATCTATCGTATTTTTATATATTTATTTCTCTGTTTATATTATTTATATCATTGTATTCTTCTTATTA